TCAATTTATGTTCGGCCACCTCACGGTCAATGCCTACCAAGTCCTCCGGGGTAAAATCAAAAATGTCGACATACTCTCGTAGCAAAGTTATCAATTGTGTCTTGATAGGTTCTTGCAACTCCATACCAACTCTCGTCAACTTCCCGCATTCTCCCTCCACAAGGGCAATCTCCATCAGTTAATCCTGCGGGATCACCTCTGTCCTTGCCTCTTTGCCCCTGCTCGAGTTTTCCCCCTTGACTCTGCTCGAGTCAACCTCCACACTCTTCCTCTTGTGACCCGCCTTCAACACTGTCTGATAACAGCTCCTTGCCACCCTTTGATCTCCTGCCACTTCACCAACGAGATCGCCCACCGGGAACTTCATTTTTATGCAGTATGTGGAAACTGCCGCTTGGAAAGAGTTTAAGCTGGGTCTTCCTAGGATGACATTGTAAGCCGAGTCTGCTTTAACAATCACAAAACGAACCGCTTTCACCTTCCTCAGGGGAGGAGTTCCTAAGGCCATGGTTAGCTGTACCTCTCCCAATGGCACTACTTCGGTGCCACTAAACCCGAACAACGAAGTCCTAATTGGAGTGATTTCCATCCCCAGATCCATTTTCCTGAAACACTCATAAAACATAATATCCGCCGAGCTCCCCGTATCGACCAATATCCTTTCAACGTCATAGTTCGCTATCTCCGCTTTCACCACCAATGCATCATTATGGGGTGCCAAAATCCCGTGAGAATCCTTTGCTCCAAAGGTCAACTCCGGTACAGGATGAACGATCTGAACCTCCGCCACATTCTCCAAATCGGCCCTTAAATTAGCCTTCCTTGCCGCATTGGAATCCCCATCCGTTGGTCCTCCTGCTATCATGTGGATCACACCCCTTTTTGGAGCTCTCTCTCCCGGCTCCTCTGGCTTTCTCTTTCGATCAACCCCCTCTGTATCCTCCTTCTTCCCTCGCTCTTGCACCACAAACTCCTTCAAGTGTCCAGCTCTTATCAATCTCTCAATCTCGTCTTTGAGTTCCTTACAGTTATTGGTCCAATGCCCATAGTCGCGATGATATCTACAGTAAGGGTCTCCCCTCACCGGCACCTTCCCAATCTTCTTGGGTAGAGGCTGAGGCTTTCCGAGCATTTTAGCCTCCCCCCGCCTCTCCAACATCTCATACACTTGTCCCCTTGGTGACGTCAGTGGTGTGTAATGTTCGTACTTGAAACCCAAGCGTCCCCTATCGTCACCCCTATAGTCCTTCCCACCTGACCTTCTATCATCTGGCTTATGTTTTTCCTCTTGCTTCTTTCCTCGAGCTCGGTCGTGTGCTTGGAAATCTGCCTCAGTCTCCTCCATATTCATGTACTTAGTGCATCT